AAAAGAAGTTACCTACAGGGAGTTCCCATACGACTGTCTGCTGATTTCTCAAAAGAAACTTTGCAGGCAAGAAGAGATTGTCAAGAAATATTTGAAGTCATGAAAAGCAGGGACCTACAGCCAAGATTGCTCTACCCAGCAAAGCTATCACTTAGCAGCAAATGGAAGATAAAGGGCTTCCCAGACAAGAAAAAACTATAAATGAGTTCATCATCACCAAACCATTATTCTATGAAATGTTAAAGGGACTTATTTAAGAAAAAGAAGAAGATCAAATATATATATCAAAAATTGAATCCAAAAAACAAACTAGCAAATAAGGAGAACAGAGACAGAATCATGGTTACAGAGAACATTTTGATGATTGCCAGATGGCAGGGGTGTGGGGGAATGGGTGAAGAGGTGAGGACATTAAGAAATACAAATAGGTAGTTACAGAATAGTCATGGGGATGTGAAGTACAATATAGTAAATGGAGTAGCTGAAGAACTTATACACATGACCCATGGATATGAACAATGGTGTGGGGATTGCCTGAGGGAGTGGGGGCTGCTGGGTGGAGAGGAGCAAAGGGGGAAAAATCAGGATAATTATAATAGCATAATCAATAAAATATAATTTTTTTAAAAGAAAGAGGCTGTGGTCCAGTTTGAGAGGAAGTCACACAAAAGAGTTTCATAAGCAATGGGAGAGAGGTATGAAAAGGGTGCTGTGGCATTGGAGTGACAGAAATGATCTCAAATCAATGATAGTGATGGCTGCAATTTGGTAAATTTACTAGAAGTCATTAATTATACATAAAATGGATGAATTTTATATGTAAGTTATACCTCACTGAAGTTGTCTCTTGAAAAAAAGGTGCTATAGGAGTAAAGAGGTCCCCTATGATTCTAAATTAAAACTGGGGTCCTCACCAACCTTGTGAAGTGTCAGGTAAATGAGGGTGAAGAACAAGTTAGAGACGTGGTTGTGGTTTAGGCTGTCTTGCTGTGGTTCTTGGGTCCTGGCCCGGACCTTAAGTGTGGGGAATCAACTGAAGGTTTTCATGCATTCCAATGGCATAGTCAAATTCACATTTCAGATAGATTTCAAGAAGGCAGGACTAGAGGCAAGGAGACCAGTGATAAGGATATTGTGATAGTCTTGGAGAGAAACTACAGAGGTTGAAACCAGGGTGGTGGCAATAGATAAAAATGAAGGCACAAGGTCATGAGCTTTTTCAGCAAACTTGGCAGGACATGGTGACTGGTGGGATGTGGGTGGTGAGGGAGGAGAAGGAGTCATCAGACAGGGAATAGAGGGGAGTGAGGCAGGAGGAAGGACATGCAGAGCGAAACTGTGGCCGTGCTGAATATGCCGTGCCCATGTGACATCCAGATGGGAATGTCTAATAGCAGGTGTGTGTCTGATTCCCACACTTTGGGGAGATTCAGGTTACAAGTCATTAGTATATGAATGGTGGTTAAAAACACAGGAGGGGAGCCCTGACCAGTATGGCTCAGTTAGTAGGGTGTCATCCTGAAAAGTGAAAGGTCTCTGGTTTGATTCCCACTCAGGGCATGTGCTAGGGTGTGGGTTCGGTCCCAATCGGGGTGAGTACCAGAGGTAACCAATCAATGTTTCTCTCTCACATGGGTGTTTTTCTCCCTCTCTTTCTCCTTCCCTTCCCCTCTCACTCTGTAATAAATAAATAAATAAATAAATAAATAAATACAATCTTAAACATAGGAGGGGATGAGATGGGTCTTGGAGACCTTGTGAATTAGAAGAAAATCAGGTGGAGGTTGGAAAACTGGTGGAAGTAACATCTGAGGGGCTGGGGAGAAGAATGTGAGAAACAGAAGGGACGTCAGGAGGTGTGATGTCAAAAAGCCAAAGGAGTGATGTTTCAAGAAGAAAGAAGTAATAGTGTCAAATGTAGATAAAGCTCCAGAAAGCAAAGACTTAAAAGGTGTCCACTGAATTTGGCTGCGGGTGACAACAGTTTCAGGGGCAGTGCGGTGACCTCCAGGCTGCGGTGGCTCAGGGAATGAGTGGGAGGAGAGAAAGTGGAGATAGAAATGTAGAGGACTGTTTGGGGACCTCTGGAGACTGGAAAGTGCTGGGGCTGTGAGTGGAAAAGGACACATGGTCCACAGGCAGCTTTGTTTTGTTCTCAGAATGGAGAGATTGGGCATGTTTGTAGGCTGAGCCAATCAGAAAGCACATCTCAAAGACAGATGAGAGGTCCATGGATGGAGAAGGGCTGGATACGGAGGGACATGGACCAAGACCTCAGGCTGAGCATTAGCATGAAGAGCGTCACCTCACCTCTCGGGACTTGAAGGCTAGATGGGGGTGTAGCTGGATGGAAGGGATGGGTGTCGAGTGGCCTCCCACCCATGGCCTTGGGTTCTCTGTTTTGTTTCATGTGTCTGTAAAGCAGGAAGAGAAATTCTTTGCTGAAAGTATGGAGAAAAGTTTAAAATAGTGATGGTATTTGCTTCTTTGCTTTGAAAGAAGTAGAGAAGTTTAAAATAGTGATGGTAACAGAGAGGGTTGATGGACAGGTGAACGTGTTGAAGCGAGTCATCCTTCACTCCTTTCTTTCTCAGTCCCGCCCCTCCAGCTCTCAGCAAGGGGTCTCTGCTGCTTCTGTTCTCTGGTCAGGCCACTTGTGACCTCTACTCCTGTCACCCTGGCCCGAACCACCAGAGTTTCTCTCCTAAATTGCCAGCGCAGTTTCCTTATGAGTTTTTCTGCTGCTTCTCTTGCCCCTCTCAGACCTTTCCCCACATAGCAGCCATGAGATATTTTAAAAATGTATTGGGTTGGCCAAAAAGTCTGTTTAGTTTTTTCCATAAGATCAAAGACACTTTTTTCATTTTCACCAATAACTGTATTGATTTGGATATTTTGAGTATTTCAGCTATTTCCTGCATAGTATAATGTTGATTGTTCTCAGTTAATGTCTTGATTTGATCGCTATCAACTTCACTGGTCTACCCGATTGTAGAGCAATATCCAATGAGAAATCTTTAGCACAAAACTTTGCAAACCACTTTTGACACATTCAATCAGTCAAATCACCTTTTCCATACACTGCACAAATCTTTTTTTGTGTTTCAACCTTTCTTGAAATAATAAAGCATAATATGCCAAAAATGTATATTTTCTTCCATCTTCAATATTAAAATAGCTACACAAATATTCATCAATTTTGATAAGTTTTTTTTAAATGCACACTGATATGGCAGCTGTCATAATACAATCTAACAAAATTGTTCTGAATGAAGTTAAAGACAACTAAGGACTAATACAACCATCTTATAGAAAAAAAAAAAACAAACGAACGAACTTTGGCCAACCTAACATATCAGATCATACCACTCCCCTGCTTAAAATCATCCGATAATTCTCATTGTGATGACAATAAACTCCACATACCGAGTGTTGTCTTGGTAAACATGACCAGGCCCTACCTGCCTTTCCCACACTCACCCTCGGTCAATGTGTTTCGGCCTCTCTGGTCTTTCGTTTCCTCCAATGCTCCAAAGTAGTTTCTGCCCCAGGGCCCTTGGACTTGCTTCCCTTCTGTTCAGGATGTTCTGGTTGGCTCTTTCTTGTCATTTACTTGCATGGCCAAAGTTACTTTCTCAAAGGGGACTTCCCTGTCTGTTTAGAGAAGCATCACCCCCAAACCCATTACCTCTGTTTTATCTGCCTCCGTAGCCATCAGAAACTGAAGCGATCTTACATACTTGCTTACTTGTACATATTGTTTGTTTCTCAATTCTAGACTAAGAGCTCCAGGATAAAAGGGACCTCATTCAGGACAAAGTAGGCACTTACGTATTACTATTTATGAGAACAGTGTTGAAAGTGTCCTTATAATAAGCACAGTGTTGAAAGCCCAACAGAGATTAGAAAATAAAACTGCAGTGGCTTCAAGTTGTTGTGATTTTTTTTTTCCAACAGAGATCCTAAAATAAGATTGATTATCTTAGGTGCCTGTTCTTAAGACAACTTCCGACAAGAATTTTGAAACATGGGCTGGGTGGCAGAGGCACCTTTGAGAAAAGTAGATGTACTCCAGCATGACCAGTTCGAATGTTTATGTTCTCACTATTTTATAGAAATTCCTTCCATTTTATGGTCTTGTAGGTATGTTGCCAAGTTGTGGGAGAAGTTTGCTGACTCCGTTTCTAGCCCCCAAGCTAAGCTGTGTTACACAGGTTACTGAGATAGGCCTGGTTTCCTTGGTGACCTGTGGGTTCAGTTCTATTCGAAATTGCTAGGGGGAAGGAAAACCAGATAACCGTCAGTTCTGTGTTTTCCTTGGGAAAGGAGTGCTTTTCAATCCTTAGTGAGGCTGAGGACATGCCTCCTGGGTGGATGAGGGTTGACCTCCGGGGCCAGCAGGCTGAATGACACTTCCTAAGTGTTCCCTGAATCCCACATTTCGTCTGGCAAGTTTGTCCTATGCTAGCTCTGGGTAATTGCATCACTGACTCCTCAGGCTCTCTGTCTGTTTAGTTTCTGCATATAAACACTGTAACTAAGGTGATGAATAATTAGCTTATTGTGGAATGTGCTAACCACCTTTCTTCTGGCAGAATGAGATGAAGGGCCCTGTCATTTTATAAATGGTAGGGCGACCCAATTTAGCTCCATAATGTCTTTTTCCCTGATGGCTGGTTTACCAAATTTAAGCTCTGCTGCCATTTGTTAACAAGGTTTGTGTGCCAAGTTCTGTACTAATACTTTGAAAAGGTTGTCTCATTTTGTATTCGTGACAATGTTATGAGGTAGGTACTATTATTATCCCCATTTTACAGACAAGGAAAGTGAGCCTCAGAGGTAAAGTGGATTTTTTATGGTCCCATGGCTTATAAAGTGGTGGGTTTTGGATTATAGAAAATTATTGCTGCTTATCATATATGCGTACTGACACTATCTGCTGAGTGCTTTTCTAACACTGCAAGCAAAGGGGGAAGGTAACTCCTATTTCCTGCGATTACCTGATATTCAGACTCCACCTTATGCTGCATTTCCCGCAGATATTGAACATCACTGAAGAACTTCTGTCTGTCCCTTGCTTCATGCAACATGATTCTTAATCCCCGACCTGCATATAAAAGATAAATAAACACACTGTGATAGAACCCTTTGTTACTTTGCCATATTTGGAATTAGTATAATTGTGTTTATTCTCTTTATTAATCTAATTTCCATTGTTTGAAAGACACAGATGCTCCTTTCAGACTGAAGGGGTTCTTTGTATGGGTGTGGATGCCCTTATAGCCCTCTCATTCTGGGTGCAAATAGTGCAACCATCAGCTGGCTTGCTAATGGAGCCATCAGCTGGCTCTAGTGACCCTGTCCCGGTTAGACATGGGAGTTATATTGACAGACACCTGATTCAGAAGTAGGTCTACAACATGATGACAAGAAAACTCAAGAACCTAGATAAATTTTAAGTGACTGAGGTTATGAGGCCTTGGGAATTTATTTATTTTTTATTTTTAAAAATATATTTTATCATTATGCTATTATAGTTGTCCTATTTCCCACCCTTCACTCCCCTCCACTCTGCACACCCTCTCCCACCCACATTCCGTCCCTTTAGTTCATGTCCATGTGTCATAAGTTCTTTAGCTTCTACATTTCCCATACTATTCTTACCCTCCCCCTATTTTCTACGTACCATCTATACTACTTATTTTCTGTACCTTTTCCCCCTCTCTCCTCCTCCTACTTCCCTGTTGCTAACCCTCCATGTGATCTCCATTTCTGTGGTTCTGTTCCTATTCTAGTTGATTGCTTAGTTTATTTTTGTTTTTGTTTTAGGTGTGGTTGTTAATAATTGTGAGTTTGCTGTCATTTTACTGTACATGTTTTTTAAAATCTTTTTTTCTTAGATAAGTTCCTTTAACATTTCATAAAATAAGGGCTTGGTGATGATGAACTCCTTTAACTTGACCTTATCTGAGAAGTACTTTATCTGCCCTTCCATTCTAAATGAAAGCTTTGCTGGATAGAGCAATCTGGGATGTAGGTACTTGCCTTTCATGACTTGGAATACTTCTTTCTAGCTCCTTCTTGCCTGCAAGGTCTCTTTTGAGAAATCAGCTGACAGTCTGATGGGCACTCCTTTGTAAGTGACTGTCCCCTTATCTCTTGCTGCCTCTAGGATTCTCTCCTTCATTTTTACCTTGGCTAATATAATTATGATGTGCCTTGGTGTGTTTCTTCTTGGGTCCAACTTCTTTGGGGTTCTCTGAGCTTCCTGGACTTCCTGGAAGTCTATTTCCTTTGCCAGATTGGGGAAATTCTCCTTTATTATTTGTTCAAATAACTTTTCCTCTTGTTGCTCTTGCTTTTCCCCTTCTGGTATCCTTATAATTCAGATGTTGGAATGTTTAAAGATGTTCTGGATGTTCCTAAGCTTCTCCTCATTTTTTTGAATTCTTATTTCTCCATTCTTTTCTGTTTGGTTGTTTGTTTCTTCTTTCTGGTCCATTCTATTGATCTGAGTCTCAGTTTTCTTCCCATCAGTATTGGTTCCCTGTGCATTTTCCTTCATTTCTCTTATTGTAGCCTTCATTTTTTCATCTAATTTGTGACCAAATTCAACCAATTCTGTAAAAATCCTGATCATCAGTGCTTTGAACTGTGCATCTGATAGGCTGGCTACCTCTTGGTCGCTTAAAAGTATTGGGTCTGGGGCTTTGATTTGTACTTCTGTTTGAGCCTTTGTTTTAAATTTTGATCTGGTCGCGTCTGTTACATAGTGAGGGGTGGAGCCTTAGGTGTTCTCCAGGGCGGGGCACCCTAGTCACTGGGTTGTGACGTTATATGTGGGGACGGGGTCTGAGAGGAAACAATGGCGCTTGCTCCTCTCTCCATCGGATTTCAGTCCCTTCTGTCACTCCCCCCAAGCAAACTGGGCCTTTCTGCTGCTGATTCCCGTGTGGGTAGGCTTGTGCAGATTCTAGGACCCTGTGGGTCTCTCCAACGAACTGTCTTGTGCGACTGGTAGTCTCTCCCAGTGCCTCAACCCCCACAAGTGTTTTTATCAGTGCCCCGAGGCTTTGTTTCCCGGTGCTGGGACCCTGGGTTGCGTGGTCTGTCTTTCTGCCCAATTTTGCCTGGTTTATCTGCACGCGGATGTGGCCCAGACAGCCAGGCGCCTTGTGCTCAGTGCCTCGCCTCACAGTTGCTACCTCTCTGGGTCTGCCAGCCACCTGTGCTCTTACGATCGGGATGCCTTACACACCTGGGATGACTTACGCTCCCGGTGCCACTGCTTTTTGTGCTGCAAACCCTCTTCGCCCGGCTGCCTGACTCCGCCCCTCCTACCAGTCTGGATGAATGTGTATGTTTTAACTCCTTGGTTGTCCGACTTCCATACAGTTCAATTTTCTGTCAGATCTGGTTGTTATCTTGTTTCTAAATTGTTGCTGACCTTATTTTGGTTGTGCGAGGAGGCATAGTGTGTCTACCTATGCCTCCATCTTGGCCAGAAGTCTGAGGCCCTGGGAATTTAAATTCATTTATTCAGCAAGTTTTACACCCTTATTCCAACCCAGGCACCATGTTGGGCACTGGGATACAGCAGTCAGCAAGATGAACACGGCCCCTGCATTTGTGGTGCTTGTGGTCTGGGGTGAGAAGACCGACAGTGAACAAGTGGACCCTAACTGTGATCAATGCTATGGAGACATATGTGGCTCCTTCAGAGAGTGTTATCATGGAAGAGCATAAGTTGGTCTGGCACACTAGGTTTCCCTTAGGAAATGACACTGAGTTTGCTAAGGAGTGAGCCAGGCAAGAAGTGTGACAGGGAGTATCTTGGACAGAGAGGACAGCAGATGCAGAAGCATCAGGGTAGCAAGGGACTGGTATGGATGAGAAACAGGAAGGCCAGTCCCAGTGGAGCAGAGAGACAAGGCAGAACAGCACCAAATGGCTGGAGGTAGCTACGCAGGGGCAAACTCATGTGGTTGGGGACATGAAGCTCAGGGCTCGAAGAGCCGTAGTAAGACACTGGAAGGCTCTGTCTGGGGAGTAGATGATTACCATTGCATTTTTAAAAGATCCCTCCAGCCTTTGTATGGAGACTAGATTGGGGGTTGGGGTGAGTATGGGGTAAAAGTAGTAGTGGAAAGACCATTGGGAACATATTACAGTAATCCAGATGAGATAAGATGGTGATCGGACCTTGGGTAGGAAAAAATAGAGATGAGGAGCAGGAAGAGGTGGGAGAGGAGGGGGAGGGGGAGGAGGAGGAGGAAGAGGAAGAGGAGATCACAGCTACTATTTACTGAGCCTCTGGAGGTTATAAGCACTTACACATATTAACTCATTCAGATCTTCATGACCACGCTACGAGGCAGGCACTATATCTCTATTTTTGCAGATGAGAAAACTGAGGCACAAAGGGATTTAGTAACTTGCGTAAGTTTATAGAGCTACTAAGTGGAAGAGTTGGGATTTGAGCCCCAAGAGTCTCACTCCAGTGCCCACATTCTTACCCATGAGGGATTCAGGGATGCTCAGGAGAGGAAGTCATCAGGACTTGGTGATGACATGGGTGGGCTGGGAGAGAAACGTGTGGAGGAAGCTGCCCAGGTGACTGGCTCAGGCAGCAGCAGTTGGTGCCAACACTCCCTTCAGAATCGGAGGAGGAAGGAGGAACAGGTTGTGAGAAAGTAACTTGGAGTTGTGTGTCTGGGGCACAGCAAATGGAGATGTCAAGTAAGTAGGTGTAGGTGTCCGGAGCTGACTAGAGAGGTGAAGATTTGGGCTTTGCTGGCATTTTTGCGAACAACTGAAGTTGAAGGCATAATGGGTCTTGAAAAGAGGAGGACCCAGGACAAAACTCTGAGGAACACTAAAATTTAAGAACAGGGAGCCAAAGAGAAACCCTGCAAAGAGACCAGAGAGGTAGGAGGAGAACCAAGTGGGCGTATTTCATAGGTGCCGAGAAGAGTGCTTTTCAAGAAGGAGGTTATTAATAACATTGGGGAGAGCATTTAGTGCGGGGACCGGGCTGAAGGCAGGTTGCTGTGGGCTGTGTAAAGGAGAGGTAAGGAAGTAGAGACAGTACTTTCAAGAGTGTGGCTCTGATTGGTGAGGCCTAAATTTATGACAAAGTATTTAAGTTCCTGAAGTTATTAAATGGCTCTATTAATAATAAGTCTGCTAGACGGATGTTAACTGGACATGAGGGCAATCATTTTGCAATATATACAAATATTGAATCATTACATTGTACACCTGAAACTAATATGTTACATGTCAATTAATACCTCAATAAAACAAATGGGTCTGCTAGACTTCATCTATAAGGTCATCAAAGTTTCCACATGATTTCCACTTATTGTCCAGTGAAGGTCTTTCCTTTATTTCTACATGTATTTTGGAGCGGCTACCATGTGACAGGTGCTTTCTAGGCTCTGGGGAAACAGCAGGATAAGACAGAGAACATTGCTGCCCCAGATGTTTACATTCTGCCACTTTTGTACCTTCTCTGATTTTTCAGTAGTGGACACATTGGTGGAATAGGCTCACCCCTGACTCATGGTGACCCCATGTCTGGTCTTGTTGCTCTGAACTCTCTCTGGCCTCGACTTCTCACCCTGGGCCACAGGGATGATCGAGCTGGTCCCCCGGGGGGCTATTTTGTCTTGAGCGTGGAAAACCACTCTTTGAGGGTCAGAATCCAAAACTGGTAGTTCCCTAATCTATACACAGAACCTAAATCTCTGAGCATTTTAATAGTCAATGATGAGGTTACATTTTAAGAGACCACTTTTAACTTTTCACATGAATTTGTACCCGCCCAAAATGAAGCTCCTACCCTTTTCAGGAGACAGTGGTGTTAAAACAGGCAGAAAGGTGAACCTCTAATGCTACATTGGACGGAGAAGCCTGTCTGAATACTAATCAGGCAGAGAACATAAGATTCATAATGTAAATATGTTAACAGTCACGGAAGGAGCACAACCCAGAGTCCACCTGGATGATACCTTTTGGTTACAAAGTGAATGTAGAAAAGCTAGCTAATCTATCCTGCCTTAATGTGGTGTTATTTTAAGGAGGCTTC